AAAGTCGGAGATGTTGAGTATTATTAGTATAAGAGGCGTTAAGTCCAGAAGTCCTGTCGTGAGAATTATTATTGTAAATCTTTAGATGTTTTTTATACGTGTTGCTAAAGATTATTAATACGGCTCATCATCCATCTCTGTCGAAGGTGACATCACAAGGTATTATTGATGGTTGATTGCTTACAAGAGACACACGTTAGACTTATTGCTTATTACTTGATTTGTTTAATATCGATAACTTCTGACTGGCTATAGACGACCATGTAGGTTATCATAATATATAAAAATAAATAGATCCATAGGCAAACTAACCTAACCTGAGCAAACTTAACATAACCTAACCTGAGCTAACCTAATCTAACTTAACATTATCTGAGCAAATTTAACTTAACCAAACCAAACCTAACCTAACCTGAGCAAATTTAACCTAACTTAACCTAACTTAACCTAACTTAACCTAGCCTAACATGAGCTAACCTGACCTGACCTGACCTAACCTAACCCGAGCTAACTTTACTTTAGGTACAATTTGACTATCTTAGGCTGGTAAACGACGACTTAGTGAAATCTTTAGTTTTGGTGAAGTTACGACATAAACTATAGGCTGGTGATACATATGGTGATGATACATAAATTGGTGATGCATAAGGTGATACATAGAGTGGTGATACATCAGGTGGTTGATATATAGTGGTGATGCATAAGGTGGTAATACATAAGGTGGTGATAGATACGGTGATGATACATAGAGTGGTGATATATAAGGTGGTGATACATAAGGTTCACAGTATAGCTGGCTGGGTGGTAGCAGTGAGCTACTACTTAAGTACCAGCTGGAGTGGGAGGTGGTCGAGGGACAGCTGGAGTGGGAGGTGGTCGAGGGACAGCTGGAGTGGGAGGTGGTCGAGGGACAGCTGGAGTGGGAGGTGGTCGAGGGACAGCTGGAGTGGGAGGTGGTCGAGGGACAGCTGGAGTGGGAGGTGGTCGAGGGACAGCTGGTAATTAGCATCAGTAATATATAATATTTCTTATTTTCCTTTATTTCTGAATACTATTATGACTGTTAGTATATATTATAGAAAGTAATTTATTATTATTATTATTATTATTATTATTATTATTATTACTATTATTTTTATTACAATTATTTTTATTATCATTACTGTTATTTTTATTATTATTATTATTATTATTATTATTATTATTATTATTATTTTTATTACTGCTACTCCTAATACCGTACTACCACACGTAGTAGCCCTGATACAGGTAGTAGTAGTACCATTGTTTATATTATTATACAGTAATTGTTGTTATACTTTTTGTAAGTATTATCTTGTTCACTAACAGCCTCAAGAAATAACAAGTGAAAAGTAAGTTTGTGAGGCAGTGCTAATTATGTTAGATAAGAAACTCAGGTAAAACTATTGGTCATTATTTTATGCGACTATTGTATCAGTAATTACAACTGATTGTATATATAGTCACAATTATAACATCTAATTATACTCATATGCAAATGATTAAAAATATTTATCATTGCCATAGTAGCAATTAATAGTAAAAACACAAACACTAATTAACATGAAAGCTTTACAAATATATTCATCTGTGTTTTCAAGTTAATCTTGTTACTCAGAATATGTGGATCTTAATACAAATCTATGAAATGTTTTATAAAGTAGTCTAAAGAGATTAGAAGCAAACTGTGTGAATACATTAAATATAAAGTCTTATATAGTTTTAAGCTAAATTTTAAAATAATTGACAAATAATCAGCTGGAAATTTTTTGCAAGAAATAGTTATTATTAAATCAAACATGTAGACCACATACACACATACAGAAACAAAACATGTTGACCACATACACACATACAGAAACAAAACATGTTGACCACATACACACATACAGAAACAAAACATGTAGACCACATACACACATACAGAAACAAAACATGTAGACCACATACACACATACAAAAACAAAACATGTTGACCACATACACACATACAGAAACAAAACATGTAGACCACATACACACATACAGAAACAAAACATGTTGACCACATACACACATACAGAAACAAAACATGTTGACCACATACACACATACAGAAACAAAACATGTTGACCACATACACACATACAAAAACAAAACATGTAGACCACATACACACATACAAAAACAAAACATGTAGACCACATACACACATACAGAAACAAAACATGTTGACCACATACACACATACAGAAACAAAACATGTTGACCACATACACACATACAGAAACAAAACATGTAGACCACATACACACATACAAAAACAAAACATGTAGACGACATACTGTAGACACATACAAAAATCAAAACCAAATTTAGGCATTGAATAAATATAAAATAAATCATTGATTATTACTTTAAAAACCAAATACAAAAATATGTAACAAAAGTAAATCGAGTAAATATCTAAATAAACAAATTGAAACAAAACAAATTATATGGTAAGGGCAGCAGCAAGACGGCTGTTTCAGGCACAATGTGTTAAGTCAACAACCATCAACATCACCTTAAACATTAATAAACATCAACACAACATAAGAACATCCACATTAACTCTCAGTTTTGACTTAGTAAACTGAGGAGAATTTCAGCCTTTAGTTTTGGGCGAAATAATTTAGGGGGAACATTTACTGAGGACGGAAACATTATTAACTTACTTATTACTTCAGGTAATAATAATAATAATAAGAATAATTGTAATAATAATAATAATAATAATAATAATAATAATAATAATAATAATAATAATGATAATAATATAATAAATGATAATAACAATAATGATAATAATAATAATAATAATAATAATAATAATGATGATAATAATATAATAAATGATAATAACAATAATGATAATAATAATAATAATAATAAATGATAATAACATTAGCATTAATAATGATAATATAATAAATAATAATAATATAATAAATGATAATAACAATAATAATAATATAATAAATGATAATAATAATAATAATAATAATAATAATAATAATAATAATATAATAAATGATAACAATAATAATAATAATAATATAATAAATGATAATAATAATAATAATGATAATAATATTAATAATATAATAAATAATAATAATAATAATAATGATAATAATAATAATATATATTAATAATAATATAATCAATAATAATAATAATAATAATCATCATCGTCATCATACCCTCGTGTCCCCAGTAACACCCACCCTTTCTCTCTACATCATACACCCTACACATTCTTCTTCAGCAGCGGGGTAACATGTGTCGAACATACATCACGCAACATCAATAATGATAATGATAATAAAAACAGTAACACTAATAATAATAATACTAATAATAATAACAATAATAACAGTAAAATCAATAGTAAAAACAAAGCGATAAAAAGTGTTGCCAAATTAAAGAAAATTGCCACAATCATCTGACCGAGATCACTGTAAGATTAATTTTACTTCAGAAAATCAAGACCACGTTTTCCCTTATTTTCAAAATGTGTTGAAAATATATAACTGAACTAATTAGCCCCATTGACTATTGCTGTATGGGTCTTATATGTTGATTATAACATTGAGATTATATACAAAAACAGATGACAGTGAGTAATACTAATTAAACCTTAATAAGTAGGTAATGATGTAGAAAAATTATTATATTCAGTTCACATATCTAACAAAATGCTTAACATAATTATATTCGTGTGAGATTAAGATGACACAGTATTTACCACATAATTGTGTTATATATTTAAGTGGTGAGTTAGAATCATAGACGAAATATTACTTGTTTATGTTACTTCAAAATTCGCTGTATATTATTGATACAAATCTTCAACATTTCATAGCGATTAATTAATACAATGGTGTACAGGTGCTTCTCCTTCGCCGTGTTACAGATGGTATTTAAACAATACTGTACACATTTAAGAGAAGTGTGTACTGATTTACATTATCAAATATAATTTATCTTTTATGTAATAACGTATTTATATTGCTTGTTTGTTTTGTGTGTGCATGTGTGTTCGTTTGTGTGTGAATTTTTTCTTTTTTGCTAAAAGGATGAAATATGTTCAACTTCTGAGCTTACTAAAAAAAATGAGATACATGGGAAATTCTACAGATGTTGACAGCACGTGAAATTGTCATGGTGCGCTGTACTACTACCCTCTAAGACGGTTGGCAGGTACAGTACGTTGTCGGAAGCACCGTGGGAAACGTACTCACAAGACGTCCAGCTCAACAAACTAACAAAGTTGTTCCTGGTGAAATATATTAAAATTATATTAAGGCGGGCGGGGATCCTGGTAGCGAGTCATCCACTTGACGCAGAGTGGCGGCCACATTCCGCGCAAGCCTCACTCCACTATGCTAATGTGGGCTGTATATCAAACTAGCGACTTACTGGGCCAGAACCCGGCCACCACAAGTTTTCCCACCCAGATTCCCGTACTCCGTCCTAAAATATGAAATCCAATAAATCAACGTGTTTATTTTACGGTACTTTTGGTGGCGGTGCGGCAGTAGTGGATGGCGGGAGGCGGCGGCCCAGCGAATGAGCCGCCCTCTGTTGTTTACTTAGTGTGAACGAGGCGGAGTCTAGCCAACCCGCGCGGGATGGATGGGCCAAGTTACCATCACCAACTCCTAGATTTATTTTATTATTTTGTCCATATCATGAAATAATGCGTCTTCATATTTGAAATTTTCTTTAAATCACCTATTTGTATCATAATGTAATATGAGGAGTTAACGAATTACGTCATGTTTCGGATTTATGAATGAGTTTCTTAAGTTGGAATCCGCCATAATGGAGGGAACTGCCGTACTATCTGATTGGTCTGCTCCATGACTCCACCTCTGATGATGTTAGCTCCGCCTCTCCCGCCTCCATCATCATATAAACGCCAACCTTCATTACAGCTCGCTAGATTTCTCATTACCTTCGTGCTGTGAAGACCAGGTCACTCTGTCCCGCTATCCTCATACTATTGAGATGGAGAAACCCACGCCCGTGACCGAGCAAAAGCCAGCTCAGAGGCCCAAGTTATCCTTCAGTATAGACTCCATCCTGGGACACCGTGAGACCACCGTCAGCCCACCGACGTCATCCCCTGAGCCTGAGTGTCGCCCAGCTTCCTCGTGCAGCGCCTCCAGCGACGTGTCGTTCGTCAGCCAAGACTCGGACCGCTGCCAAAGTCCTGCAGCATCGCCCGTGGTGAGGCCCCTCCACCACATGGGTCCCTCACAGTGGATCCCCGCCCATCCTTACTTCCAGTTTACCTCCATTCATGGTAAGTACCCTGACGCCCGTGGTGTTCCCGTTACCTCACAGTGTTTTGTTTGAAAACATGAAAACATGTCCCTAATTGTAGTTATTGGAACAACTCCCTTACTGTACTGAGAACTAACAGGGTTACCTCGTGCCCTCAGGTCCCCCAACCCTGCCCAAGTTGCCCAGCTCCGTGGTCCTGCGTAAACACAAGGCCAACAGGAAGCCCCGCACGCCCTTCACCTCCGACCAGCTCCTCGCCCTGGAGAAGAAGTACCGGGAGAAGCAGTACCTGAGTATCGCCGAGCGGGCCGAGTTCTCCGCCTCCCTCAACCTGACGGAGACGCAGGTCAAGATCTGGTTCCAGAACCGTCGAGCTAAAGACAAGAGACTGAAGGAGGCGGAGATTGAGCGTTTAACACGACCCGTGTACCCAGCCTACGGCGGCCTCCTGCCCCTGGGTGGCCACATGACCGTGTTGCCCCTACAGCGCCCGCTGGTGCCCCTCCTCGGGTAGTGTGTGAGTGAAGCGCCCTTGATGTACCTGCAGCAGCTCCGGCTGCGTCGCCAGCCGCCGCCCCGGTGGTCCAGCTTCTCCGTCCTGCCTCTAGTCGCCCACCACACTGGTGAGTCTCCGGAACCCTCATTGTTGGGTCTTCATGATAGTCGGGTGTATTTACTGCAACTTTTCAGAAGAGCTAAAGTGTTTCACAAAAACTTTAGTTTTTATTTTCTACGCATTTTGATAATATTCCACAATGGTCATTTAAATTTTTCGTCCTTCAAACATCGTTAAAAAATTTAACATTATTATTTTGTTATCAATTAAGTTATATAAGGTTAAACGGGCTTGTGATTTATATGTAATTATGTTTATTGGTATTAGCTCCAATGGACACCCTAGTAACATTTTATCAAAACATTAGTATTTCTGTAGTTCACCTCTAGATATGTTGACACTTATTACCGAGTGCTGAACCTTCACGTGTTTACAGTGTTGTGTGTTCTTCCTTTATCAGGTACTCATGATACTGGTGATGCCTCCAGCCGCGCCCACAACAACCGAACACACCCCTCACAGCCCACGCCCACAACAACCGAACACACCCCTCACAGCCCACGCCCGCACCAGTCATACCTCTCACCATCCACACCCCTCGCCTCCGACGCCTTTTACCACCTACGCCCCACCATTTACGTCCTCACCGGCCACTCCCAGCACCAGCCACGCCCATATAGCCCTCACCACTCAAGCTTGCACACTTCACTACCCATGTCTCTCAGCTCCTACCTATCACCACTCACTACCCTCACCACCCACCGCCTAGCCTACACCTCACAACACTGACTGCTTCACACATCAAGAGGAGACATACACACGGCCAGCACTTACACCCGCACCACACACCCGCGCCGCCCACCTACACCCGCGCCGCCCACCTACACCCGCGCCGCCCACCTACACCCGCGCCGCCCACCTACACCTGGTCTCTACCGCTGGAAGACGGAGACACTGACTGTGATAATTTATAGCAGTAAATGAATATATATTATATTTGTTACTTTATATTATGTTGATAATCTGTTATTTCTTAATAAAATCTTTGGAAAGTATTACGATATTTACTACGACCCAAGTTATATTATTGGAGTGTATGTATGAAAGGTAAATTATTATTACAAAATACTGATGAAAGTAACTCACAAGTAATATTTAGCTTTATGTAAATTATTATAAAGAAACAAGTTCGTCACACAGTAAACTTATCCTTGAATACAAGTAATAATCATTTATATCAAAGTATTATTATTATTATTATTTGTACTGGAGCGAGAGATTGTTAGGACCCAGGTGAGAACTCCTCAGATACTTGAGCTACAGATATAAGAGCCAATTACTGAGTCTCCATACCAGATACTGCAGATAACATGATAAGTGTTGGTGGAGGAACAGTCTGTCAACACCTTCACTTTAAGACTGGTGTATGACTGTTGCCACTCTTTTTAACTGTACAATATGTCCGGTGAAACTTAGAAGCTTGACCGGTCAGCATTTACGGACGAACAATAAGCCAATATTACTAGCAACTGTAAAACTGATTGGTCTTAGGTGTGACTGTGTAGACAGTACTGACAGCCGTGTGACTGTGTTGTGTAAGCTGATAGCCGTTCTAACTGTGTGCCACCCTCAGTCTTAACTGTAAAGTTTGTACAGTAGACAAAACTGTTAGCGCAGTCTTCCACCTCATGACTGGTAGACCTGAATTAGTTTGACTGTAGATTCCTATGACTATTATAGACTGCCACCTACACCACTGTTTTAGAACAAGACTGGCTGACTGAGGCTGGCACTAACAGTCGTCCAGTCTCTCCCACTATGACTGGTGGGGGAGGGTTGACTGGCGCCGCACAAACAACACGTCAGGTTGTCACGCCAACAATGGGATCATAATCACCTCCCAGTCCCACAATACTTGTTTTGAGGTGAACGAAATTTGGTGAAAAAATTAATGGCTCCCACAGCTGGAAAAACGAAAAAAATTATTCAGTGAAAAAATATATCATAAGCTTAATTTATATTTATAGACGAATTGTGCCTCAGAATTGCCCATAAATTTACACGAAGATTTTGTCGCGTTTGTCAAAATGCTTCGTTTATATTTAGCACCGCCCCAGCCCAGGGCTGATGGCTGTTGTATATTTCGTATTTATCCGCTCAGCTCCACCAAGACTTAGTACACCACGTTGTGCCAGCCTTGGCAGGTATTTCAAACATAGATTAGCTGAGATTAACTGAGGTTAACCCGGATTAACTATACTTTACCCAGATTAACCTGTTTAAGAGACGGGTTAAGACGATGAAAATCAGATTTACACGAGAATTCAAGGATGACTTATAACTGAGAGATGACGAGGAGCAGCTGGTGTTTGTTGAGCCTCCCACACCGTGATATACTCCTGTGTGTGTGTGTGTGTATATATATGTATATATATATATATATATATATATATATATATATATATATATATATATATATATATATTGTATGTTTTTATGTATGTATGTATGTATAATTGTGATTTACATTTGTGAGTGTGTGTGTGTGTGTGTGTGTGCAAGTATGCTAGCCTGCGTGTACGTGCGTGTGTATGATCGACTTCTGATCGCCCAGGGTGAGTGTTTAGCTTAGCCAGATGAGTTAAGAGTGCGGGCTGTGCGTGTCAGCACAGCATACTACACTACATGCATTAATACACTCCTGTTGACGCCTCGTCTCCAACAGTAAACAAAAAAATAGGGACGAAAGAATATAATAGAGTCTCGAGTCATAATAGAGTTGAAAAGAAGTGGGAAAACCTACCTAAAACAGAAGACATAATGGAGACTAATAGAGTAAAACACAAGATAGTGAACAGAGACACAAGTGAACAGACTCGTAATGAATTAACCAAGAAATTGAAGACTACAACACCAAACAATTAAAGGTGTCACTCTTAATGTATAGGTTAGGTTGGGTTAGGTTAGGTTACGTTAGGTTACGTTAGGTTAGGTTAGGTTGGGTTAGGGCCCATTAAGATTTGGGATGTATTTAATGGGTCCCAGTCATTATGGTTAGGTTAGGTTAAGTATGGGCCTATTGAATCAGTTACCAAATTGAGCTATCATATGTATATTATGTTTGGAGCCAATTGTTACACCAGTTAGTATTATGGTGCTGGGTGGCTGAAGGGGAAAATATTTATGGCGAAAAATAAATCGTTTTGAAATGAATCTATTTCAGAAGATACAAAATATGTTTTTATTTCTCTAACTTAATTCAGGGGACACAATAAACGTTTTTAAAATTTATCGAAATTTAGAGATATAATTATTTTTTTCCTTTATTTAATATAAAACTTTAGATGACACAGGCATATTTATTTTTAAATTTTAATATAAATTTAGAAGACAAAGAATGCCACAATGAATACTACTTTTTTATTTAATTTAATTTAGATATCAAAGAACGGCCTGCCAAAAAAATGTTTGTTTTTAATATTTCTAATAAAAAAAATTGGAAGAATAACAATCGAAAAGAAAAAAAATTAGCAATTTTGATACAATTATAATACTGTGTCCATAAATCATGTACCTGAACTCTATACCTGTAATTATAAATCTGGATTATAATATTAAGATAAACAAACAAATAAAAAAATAACTCGTAAATAAAAAAAAATCCGTAAATGTAATATAGAGTTTTATTGAGAGGTAACAGAGCATCATCACAACATATATCACTACACATGTTACAAGTTGGCTGGTCAATGGGCTCTAATCTGACTTGTCCTTAGTGACCTGACTACTTAACCTAACCTTATTTATCTAACATAACCTAACCTAACCGATAACCTAACTTGTCTAAGGTAACCTAACATAATACCTTATAAAATAACCTAACTAAATGGGCCTTAATCATAATACTGAGGTTAGATTAGTTCAGGTTAGTTTAGGGTAAATTCGGTTAGATTAGTTACAGGTTAGTTTAGTTTAGGTTACATTAGTACAGGTTAGGTTAGGTTAAGATTGAGAGCCATTTGACCTGTACCTTCAGACAAACATAATGTAATACAGATATAGAAATGAATAATCGTATACAAATTGTAGAGCAAGAAACAGTGAAATATTAAGCACAGGTAAACTATATTTTGTTACAGGTAAAATAATAATTTTTTCGACAATTAAAATATAAGAAACTGCTCAAGTAATTATGGTTAAAAATATATTTTCTTGATTACTAAGAAAGAGATGATGGTGTTAATGGTGATGATGATGATGATAATAACAGTAATAATTATGATGATAATAATAGTAATAATAATAAAACAGTCAAAACAATTTATTCCATGTCTATCAATTAAGAAGAAATAATTACAATAATATTTTCATAGTTCTAAATGAGAGTAAAATTAGCCCCAATTTATACTAAAAAAATACTGAAAAATACAAGCAATTCTATCATGATTATTAATTACTAACAAAAATATATATTACAACTTCTTTCATGACTCAAAAAAAAATAATTATATAATGATTGCCAATGTTAATGAGTCAGAAATTTTAATATATATTCTTTAAGGAAATGGAAGAAGAATAAAAATAACGAAAATATGTAGAAGAAACGAAGAATAATGAAATAAAACACAAATATAGAAACATCACTTGGTTAATTTCCCCACCTGTCCCCCAACACCTTACCTGTCCCCAACACCTTACCTGTCCCCAACACACCCCACCTGTCCCCCAACACCTTCCCCAACACCTGTCCCCAACACCTTACCTGTCCCCAACACCTTACCTGTCCCCAACACCTTACCTGTCCCCAACACCTTACCTGTCCCCAACACCTTACCTGTCCCCCAACACCTTCCTTAACCAATTATTATGCCAGGTGTTGTGAGAGAATATTATGAACTACGTGAAGATTAGAGACCCCAGCTTATTTCACCTGAAGATTAGACACCCTAACGCTACTTGTGGATGTTAGGTTTAAATAGGTTAGGTTGTATGAGGTAAGGGAAGGTTAGGTTAGGTTAGGGAAGGGAAGGCTAGGTTAAATGAGGTTAGGTTAGGGTGGTTAGGTTAGGTTAGGGTGGTTAATCTTCAGGTGAAATAAACTAGGATGCCTAATATTAATGTGATCCGGAAATACTAATAAACTTAATTTAGTAACTCCTAAGTCTATATTGTGTGGAAGATGGTGACCTTACGACTGACCTAATCCAGTCTAACCTAATCTAACTTAACCTAATTTAGCCTAACCTAACTTAACCAAATGAAAACCCACTTAATCTAACCCTAACGTACTTACATTCTCACTTAAACCATCCTAACCTAACCTGACCTAACCTAACCTAACCCCCAAGATAGAATCAGGGCTTTTAATCATCAGGTGAAATAAACTTTAAGGTTAATCGTCAGGTGAGCTGATATTTTTACCTGTCTTTTCACCTCTCACCTGTCGCTTTGACTGTCTTCCTCCTGTCTCCTGTCATTGACGTTTCTGTACTAATTGGTTCATCTAAAACAAAATTAGTAAATTAAAAATATAAATAACTGATACGTAATTCATGTTCATCAATATTTTTCCTCTTCTTAATTAGTGGTATTTCTTTTATCACTATACAATGGAGTCTATGATTTATTCTCGTCTAAATTGAGCTTTCATAATAGTGATGTTGTTCGCCCTGGTAAAAGAAAGTGTAATTATAAGGTAAATGGAAGGTAAATGGTGTTATTCGTCCTGGTATAAGGAAGAGAAACTGAGCAGAAAGTATTTAAGTTGACCAAGAAGTGATTAGTTAATGAGTTATCTGTGCAGGTAGGGTGAAAGTATATCCCAGTCAGTAAGACATTCAGTCGGTCAGTAACGCAGTCAGTAAGGAAGTCAGCAATACAGTTTATCAGTCGGTAAGGCAGCACAGAATAAGTGTAACTGACCTATGTATACAGGTATGGTGGTGAGGTGATCGGTTAGTTTCCGAGGTCGAGAATTCTTAGAAACTCCCATATTAAACTTAACCCCAAGACCTTCCTCCATGCGGTAGTAAAAAATGCCTCTAATAATAGTATC